AACCTATTTTTCTAATCAACCTGTTCACAGAGATGTTATTACACACTTCTGGAACAGGTGGAATTTAAACCTGGTCCTCCTGGTCCAGGGCAGCGACACTGCCACTGCACCTCAATATTGTCCCTTGAGTTAATATAATGTCAATCTGTTATCACAACAACGTGTTCTCATCCTATGAACTCCATTTCCAGGTAATCGGTTTATCCCAGTACACTACGCCATCATCCTTGTAGGATTGAGTTTGTTACTGATGGCAATGATTTATGTTCAGATTTTCTATTAAATGGTAAGTTGTTAAAGTTTAGATTTGTTTGGAGATAAAAAATTGCATGATTTTGTTTTATTCCTCAAAAGCTGTTGGGGCATTGAAAGTTTCTAGTCCCACTGACAAATAATCAGGAGATCTGCATAAACAATGATATAAATTGACTTTTCTTACTAAATAAAAACCAAAAGAACTGCAGATGCTGCAAATCAGAGATAAAAGTAGAAATTGCTGGAAAAGCTCAGCAGGTCTGGCAGCATTTGTGGAGAGAACTCAGAGTTAACGTTTCGGGTCGAGTGACCCTTCCTTAGAACAGAGGAAAGGTCACTTGACCCAAAAGGTTAATTCTGATTTCTCTCCACAGATGCTGCCAGACCTGCAGAGCTTTTCCAGCAATTTCTGTTTTTGTCTCTGACTTTTCTTTTGAGCGAATTATTTATGACAATTTCATACTTCATAAACTCAAATCAGTCTCAGATTTCACTTTGTAATCTATTAAATACTGGAGCTACTGCAATAAGTTTATGTATAATGTCTATGCACTGCTAACTGGTAAAATAATTTTCACCTGCAAGCACAGATAAATGACAACTTTCAAGAAATGTAGGTATTGGAAAATTAATAAAAACAGATGACCTCAATTGCTTACACAATATTAGCAATTAAAGCACAACACCTTTCTGGAGAATTAAAAAAAAACTGTATTTCAGTTGATTTGACCTCAAAATTCTTTTTAAAATCTAGGCTTGCACAAGGTCACCAGCTTTCTCGTGTTGGTGAATATTCATTTTGCCAAATACTAATTGAAAAGTTTCAACAGGACATGTTTAAGTCTTGGATGATGGCGTTTTGGGGTGTTAATTAAGTTTGGAAGGGATCCTCCACACAGAACACTTTGAAAAGCACCAATTTAAACAACGCAAAAGATTTAGAAGTTAAAATCTTTCTGGATTTTATATGAATAATAAATTGCAAGATTCTACGTTGAGTAATTGTTTGTTTCAGTCCTTTAGTCCAAGCAAAGAATCACATACCATTTACAATTAGAATATAAATCAAGTTCCCCTCCGCAAATGAGGTACACACAATAGGGTTTGCATCAAATAAATATTATTTGGACTTGTGTTACATTTTGGTGATTGTTCATGCTTGTGCCAAACTAGTATCTTAAAATTAACTAGTCAACTATCCAACAAGACTGAACATTTAATATACCCCCACATTTATACCTGTCTCAGCTCATCTACTGCTGAAACCCTCAACCATGTCTGTGCTACTTCTAGACTTGATTACTCCTGGGTTGCCTCCCATCTTTTATCCTCCTTGAACTTGCAGCCATTTAAAATTCTGCCATTCTAAATGTCTTAATATGCAGTAATATCCTTGCTGACTCTGACTCCAGCATCTGTAGTTCTTGCTATCTCTTGCTGATTTATATTGCTTCTCAGTCAAATAGCATCTTGTCAAGTTTTCACCCCGGTTTTCAAATCCATCCAAGGCCTATCCCTTCCCTATCCTGGTAATCTCCTCCACCCTACAACTCAGATCTGCATTCCACTAATCCTGGTCTGTACTGCATGACCATTCGTTATATTCCACTCTTGGCGGCCATGTCTTCAATTGCCTATGCCATAAAAACTGAAATTGCCTCTCTATACTGCACCTCACTTTCCTCCACT